ATTGCTTCCCATAGGTCTGCTTTGCTGTTATACTGTTTGCCACTTTTATATAATTTCATCTTCACAGTTGATCATACATTTTCAATCGGTTTCAGATCAGGACTTCATGGTAGCCATTCCATTATCTTCACTCCTGTTAATCTGTTATGCTCAAATAATTCCGGGGTAACCTTAGATCATTGTCGTGCATAAATACACACTTTACTTTGAAACTGTGAGACTGGATCTTTTACCTTGCAAAGAAATCTTGTTTATAAAATCGCAATAGTTAGCACTGTTCAGTTTAACTGCTTCATCGACTTTTAATGGCTAATAATGGTCTGGTCAGCAATTTAAAACCATATCATAAGGCTACCGCCTCCATGTTCAATTATGAAGCCACAGAAACGTCTGTATTGGATAAAATCTATCCTTTGGCCCATCCATCATGTCCATCATATGTGCTGCGAGATTCATCCGTGAAAATTACTTTAGAAAAGTCAATTTTCATGAATTTCTTGGGCCAATTTTCAAGCTTTAAAATATAAGCTTTTGTGAGAGGAGATTTCCTAGGAGTTTTATTTTTACAGATCCCAATTCACAAATGTATTCTATACCTATTGTCCTTCTTGATTCCCTAATTCTAGCCTTTTCAAAAATCTGAGTGCTCGTCATAAGTGGTTGTTTCGCTATAACTCGCTTTAGTTTACGTTCATCTCGAGGAAACAAGTTCTTAAAGCTTTTTCCTTTGCTTCGAGCTCTCAAGTCATTTATATTTTCAACAGTCTTCTTTATTGTTCGATAAACTCTTAAAAGCTTCTTTAATATCTCCAGTGCGAACTTTCCTTCACTCAATAACTTTGTAATTTTCCGTTTTTCAGCAGTTAGATCCTTTCCTTTATCCATGTTCCAACATATATTATTATTATCGTTCAGGTTAGGACCAAGGAAGAACAACACGAACACAAGAGTAGAAATAACTAAGGTATATTACACGAAATAATAATACAAGATGAGGAAGATGTTAGTATCACTGTCAGTCTGGTTTGGAGTGAACTACTATCGGCTCGACTCGATTCGATATTTACTTAACGAGGGAAAGATGTGGCACAAGGCCGAGTTTTACCTGGGTTTTCCAAAAAATGTCCGTAGAAACTGTAAAAACAGAATCGGGTTGGTCAACCTCCCCGAACGAGGCTCTATCCTTCGACGGAGCCTCGTCCGGGTTCCTCAGAGGCAGAGAGTTCGACCGTCAAGCCGAGAAACTCGGCTCGATTCGATACCTAGCCAACCCTCACGAGGGTTGCATGTGTTACAAGGCCGAGTTTAACGTGGGTTTCCCGAGCCCGTAGGCTCGGCCAAAAAATGCCCGTAGAACCGGTATTGATTTTTATTTTTTCTTACCTTTGGATATAATAAAGTTTTTATAGGCTCGTGTTCTTTTTTTCCCTATTATTTTTCGTTTAATTGTAATCATGGCTTGTTTAACAAAAATAATACCTCATAAATATAGCCTAGGCTATACCATTTACTACTAATTTTACTAATTACTAATTTTTACTTGATTTTCCCTGCTGAAATTGGGGTGTGTCTTATACACATGTGTGTCTTATATACCGTCAAATATAGTAATTTTTACTAATCAAACTAGATTATTGATAAAAATAAAAGTTGTGCTGGGTTCACTAAAATGTGCATAACATGGCGGAACTAAGGAATGTAGTTTGCCTGAGCAGTTTCCATGGAAATAACAATAGAGCAGCAAGAGGCTTGCAATATTTCATCTGTGAGAAAGGTGGAAGATAATTCATCACTCACAAGGATGTTGAGATGCTTTTGGTTTCTATCAAGCATGGAATGTAAAGACTGTTCAGCTCTTGCCCATATATGGCATAGCAGCAGTTTGCAGAAAGCAACTGTTCAAGTGGAGCTTAATCTCACAAATGGTATACAAAGGAACCAACAGCCAAAAACCTACAAATATCTTTTGATTCTAGTGGTGGTAGCTTGGTGCTAACCCAACCACGATTTTTGTAAGAGCTGAATACAGAGACCTGGTGCACAGTATGCTACAAGGACCCCAGCGACCCTCCACAGGCGTTGAATTAAGAGTTGTCCTTCTCCAAGACAGGTTGCGACCCTCGGCTATAGAATCCACTCTGTCCTGCTATTTTACGCATGCCGTTTCCATAGTAATTAATTTTACGAATGAACATGCTTATAAAGATGCGTAAATTTCAATTTTAGTTATTCCTGAATTTTCGCTTGAGGATAAAACAGGGCTTGATACTTTAATTCAATTTAATTTTAATAATTATATTGAGCATTTTGGCTCTTGTTTTTGAAACATGAGAACTCTTATTTAAAAAAAAATAATTATAATTAAAGCTCTACTTTTGTATGGAGCACTGTTTTTTTTTGTTTGTTTTTTTAAAAATAAAAACAAAAATACTAAAAATCTCCGGATTATGTACCTAAAGTGTTCTTTCCTATTTTTCTATATATTTACACTTACACACACACACACACACACACACACACACACACACACACACACACACACACACACACACACATATATATATATATAAAGAGAAGAAGCTGCAAACGTTTATGGTTATAATGTGGATTTTTTATATATCATACTTTATTTTATATAAATCAAAATTCTAGAAAATAATATCTCAAAAAAGTCACATTGTTTTCAAAAATGTTTTATATATATTATAAATTTCATCCCAAGCAAGGTAATAAAGCCACTAAGACGAAATATGTTATTGAGTATTAGATAATATGAGAAAAATACTATTAATTAGAGAGGACAATAAAAGAATGAAAAACACAAAAGACAGAATATAAGGATTGCCATTGCAATTCAATTTTTGAAGATCAAATTTTACTGGAAAGTAAGCAGCTGGGTGTGAGTTCCACAAGCGAGAAGTGCGATAGAGAAAACTGTTAACATAAAACTTACGGTTACATCTAGCCATTACAATTGTAATATCACGAGACCTAGCCTCCAGTCTAGAACTGCGCTTAAATTCATAAAGTCCCCGTACCATAGAGGAACGTTCAGCAGAACAATTACCAGGATAATATTTATAGAATAAGCAAAAGGAAGCTACGTTAAGGCAGTGGGAAAGGGACTTATGTAGAGATGCCATGTCCGACCAAATAACATTGAAGATTCTTCTTTGGGTGTTAATCAAGAATCTCTAAATATATAGCAGACCAGTAATATCCAAAGCAAGGACAAATGTTAGAATTTGTATGTAAAAGGGATTTTATCGAAAAATTTGTCCAGCACGACACAGTGAACCAACTTTCTTCGCAATTGATTCAATAGACACTTTCCACTTCATAATATCTGAAAACGTTACTCTGAGGAAGGGCAATGATTCACTCACCTGAAGATTAGTATCAGCCATACTGATGGAAAGTAAAATGGATCCTCTCAAATGATTAAAAGAGAGCTGTTTCATTTTTGAGGCATTAAAATTAACACGTTATTCCTTGCGCTATTTAACAACTGATCGTAGGTCATTTTTTAAGATCAGCTGCCAATTTGACTTTACTGAGCCAATCAGACATGCCATTAAGACAGGATTAAATAGTTGTGCTATCAGCATATATGCTCAGTTGAGAACTGATGTCATCAGGAAGGTCATTTATGACAATTAAAATAAAAGTAGGCCCAAGTTTAAAGCCCTGAAGAACACCTACATTTATATACGATCTATAAAGATTTTGGATTCTTTGTACAACTCCAAAAAGTATCTTATGCATCCAGCTACCCTCTACATTTATCCGGAGTAGGATCAAACCCAAAGATGGAGTATTATGTCATATCTGAGCTGCAGCTGCCCAATCCCTACTTTTCAGACTTTACCTGGCTTTGTGGATGATGAACAGTTTTCCACCATACAACCTCTTTCCCCACAGACAAAAAGTAGCAAGCCTCTTGCTATAATATCACTATTTTCATGTCTGATGAACTGTATTCCTTATTTCCAATCTTCCTAACCTTCTCAGCTTGATACCATGTCCACTAAATAGAGGTGTCTCATCCTCATTCGTATTCCATTTGAAAGGACAAAGTTCTAACTTCATACAACAGTCCCCCGAAATTTTACTTCCCTGATCACTGTGATCCTAATCTATTCACGTCTAGGGTCAGCAATAATCTGTACTACTTAACCTTATAATCGCAACTTATTTCTTTTTGTTAGGTTCGTAAAACAACCGCATTCAGTAATCCTCTACTTTGACGGGCTCTTGGTTTTCTATTGGGTGAACTATAGTATCAAAACATGATTTTCGGAGTTACATTTTCTCTACCTCTCTCAATACACAAACACCAAATTTTTGCTTTTATGCACCACAGTGGGTCATAAATATAAACAAATTCTGACACGAAATCTTGATTTCCTGCCAACATTTAACCTTCTAAACTTATCCCATACCATAACCCCAAAAGCTTACCAAGACTTTTATAACTATATTTGCAACAAAGACATACACTTTTGTTAATGCTTCGCTACAAGTCTTCACACATGTGTTCCTATGGTTACCAGCGTGAGTTTACATATTCTTAGCTCAACGCTGACCCTAACGCCCCAGGATGTTTATAAGAAAGTCTGGATAAGAATCCGGGACCCATTTTCCTTTCTCTGCTTATCACTACGCAGCTCGGCCACCGAAAATTTAGGTCTTATCCAATCTCCCATTCATCTGTCACCTACCACCCAACTCTTTCCTTGTTTAAAATAGATGTATTCTGTGGAAATTGGTTGGTAGTGGTGATGATCTGAAAAAAAGAGGTAGGGGTGTAATTTGTCGGAAGATTTTGAGAAATGGACGGAGGTACTTTTTCCTTTTATCGTTTATTTGCTCGGGCTAAAACAGCTAAAATTAACTTTGTCGAGTTTAAGAAACATCATGGATGCTGGGAAATTAGTTGCCATCGAAAACATTTGACATTCAAAAAGATCTTTCAGGGAACAATCGTTTAATATTGGAACACGCTAAAAACACGGTGTCACAAAAAGATAGATTTATAGATAGATAGATAGATAGATAGATAGATAGATAAACGTGAGTATACTAACATAGGCAGATAGACATATATATATATATATATATATATATATATATATATATATATGACATACTAACACAGATAGATATGAATAGACTGAGATAGATAGAGTATGGTAACATAGACAAATATATATATATATATATATATATATATATATATATATATATATATATATATATGACGTACTAACACAGATAAAAATAAATAAAAACAAGCAAAATAATTCAACCCAAATAAATAAATAAACAATCAAATAAACGACTTCCGGTAAAATAACCGCTAAAATAGACTACATCCATCCATGCATATATATATATATATATATATATATATATATATATATATATATATATATATATATATATATATATATATATGACATAGATTGAACATGTTCGTTTTTTCGGGTTATAACAGCTAAAATGAACTCATGGAGGCTGTCAAATGACGTGTCACCAACAATCATTTGACGTCTCCCAAAACATGGTCGTTTTTGTATCTTTGCTCGACATTTTTGTTCTCTTTTTGTTGTATTTATGCATCCTCATTTTTTTCTCGAGAATTGACAACAGAAATACTAAAATCAATGCTTATAAATAAATGATCTAATAATTAAATAGTTTTTAACATTTTTAGCTGTCATATCTCGAGAAAAAGGATGTATCTTTTCAGATGCTCGTAGCCTATTTTAATGGAGTCGTGCATTTTCTCAAAAATTATTACAGTTACTCTTAATTATTTGTTTCAATTTTCTTGTTCACATATCCATATATATAAAGTTGTAGCCTCTGTCTATTTGTTTGTTATCGACCTCCTCCTAAGGTTTTGGACACCCATAATTACATATTTTCTGAAAATACATTACCCAGTGTACTTATGTTTCATTTTCATAAAAGGGGGTCCTCGATGGCTACAAACACCCCACTGAATTTTTTTCCCTTTTATTTAAATTAATCTTATATTTGAACAAGGGAATGAATCCTATGCAAAATATAGACGGAGAAAGCCAGAAAATGGAGGTCACATCGACACTTCAAAATGAGATAATATGGACTAGACGTAGAGAAAGAAATCACCAAGCAGTGGATAGTGCCTTACAATACATATTTGTTGCGACAAGCCAAACCTGATATCAATGTTGAAATCTGCTCATCAGCTCCTTCAATCAAGTATTGTATCAAATACATATAAAAGGGATCAGATCAAGTTGTTTTCGCCCTCTCCTGAATTTTTCCCTTTTAATTTAAATTTTAAAAAGGGAATTACTCCTATCCACAATATAGGAGAAAGCCAGAAGATGAAGCTCACATTGACAAGATCATTGAGTGATATTTAAATGCATTATTTTTCTCCACAAATTATATTAACGATTAAAAATCAATCATCATTTTCTTACAAAGAAATAAAAAAAACTGTGACACACAGTAAAGTGCGGGAAATTCCGCTCGTATTTTTACAAACTTATTAATAAAAAAGTTATTTTTACAGTTATATTTTTATATGGGAAATAATAAATTTCGGATTTTAGTTGGTTTAAATATTTTTATAAACTTGTTAATTATAAAATTGTTCGTGTAAATAAATGAACATTCTTATAAAATATATAATATTTAATTCTGTTCTTGCCAATTCTTGCATTATTCAAGTTTCATATGTTAGTGTTTTATTAAAATTCTCAAAAACTTGTTAACCATTACACCACGTCGCAATGCCCCAAATAATTTTCTATGCGTATCTTAGACTGGCACAAGGCCGAAATTGTAGAGCACTCAATGAAGATCAAACTCACTACTCAGTCGTAATTGATCTAGTGAGTCAAGCTTTTTAACCATTACACCAGGTCAAAGCGCCAATTGTTGATGGAATATTCAGTATTAGCAGGGTTAAGGGAAAAATTTATTTTTTGACGCACCGTTAAACTTTAGGGCAAGAACATTCATCTTAAAGATGCAAAATTTTCGAAGAATATTTTATTAACAATAATAAGGCCCAAGACCCTCTCAATGTAGAGGCTTACCGTTTAAGAGGCACCGTTTATGGGGATATATAAGGAACATTATGTTAAATCTAGATATGAACATATTAAAATTGTATTGATCGGAAAGCATCCACTTGGGAGCCGTTTCCATAAAGTTCATAAGGAGATACTTTTAAAAGCGTAAACAAAGCAACTTCTAAACAAATAATGGATTTATATTTATTAATACAACATATTTTTATCAATTTAAACGTGGAAGATGTGCTTAAATGCAGTGTTCAGTCTATGTCAGAATCGATGCTCTTCGTAGCCAAGGCGGTTAAAGTCTAACGGCGGTTTCTGTTGTAAAGAGGGGCATAGGTTCGAATCTTGTTTGAGTTTTTCTTTAGGAAGATTTTTTGTAATTTCAAGCCGGTGTTATTTCTGTAGATGATGAGTCCTGATTACTATTTTGTCTTTATTAAATTTTAATACAAAAAAGAATACCACATGTGATAACAATATGGCGGATTAATAGATAAAAATCCATTATTTCATAAAAAAATGCTTTGTTTACGTTACGAGTACGAAACTGAGCATGGAATCGAAACACGTTTAAAGCAAGTTGTATGTAACGTCGGTTTTTCCAGCAACTTTAGGATTTTACGAATATTCATACCGGTAGACGAAATAAAATGCTGTTTAAAATAAACGGAACGTCTTCACAAATATAGGTACCCATTATTTCCTATATATATATATATATATATATATATATATATATATATATATATATTGATCTTGCTTAATCTGTTATCACCTAACACACACACACACACACACATATATATATATATATATATATATATATATATATATATATATATATATATATATAATACAATTAATTTTTAAAAAAATATTATTCCATCGCTACACAAGAATTACCATGTTTCAAAACCAGAAGCTAAAAACTTGGAATTCAATTATAGAAATTAAATTAAAGTACATAGTTCTGTTTCATTTTCAATTTTGGAATAACTTATTTTGAAATTTACGGAGCTTTATAAGCACATACTTTCATAATATTAGTTCTTATGGATATGGAGAAAATCAATCATTTTAATAAGTGGTACTGACTATTATTGTATCAACATATTAGTTACTTTCGAAAAGTGGTTAAGTCAAGGTAGTTCAATACGACGTATTCATATACAAACAACCCTTGTAGGAAGAAAAACTTTATGTATACAAGTACAAATTTAACGGCGAATCATAAGTGCCGAAAAACATTCTGTCGTTGAAGAAGACCAGACGACATGCGTTGAACGGATATCATCATTCGACTGAAAAAAATCACCCCGACCCTTCCTATTTTATCAATATATTTGCATATATATATATATATATATATATATATATATATATATATATATATATATATATATATATAGATAGATAGATAGATAGATAGATAGATAACAAGATAAGAAAAAATAGGAAAAGTTTATCAATATAACATTTCACCATTATTAGATTAATAAACGTTTCCGATTTGTATACTATCTTGTATATATGATCCTTATCTTACACACTCACACACATACATACATACATATCCTGCCTTTTATAGATAGAGATTTCAATTTGCTTTTTTCTTTCTTTTCCTTTTATGGAATAAATAATTTTATATATATATATTTGTTTCTTTGGAAAATTTGTCCAAATTATAAAAACGATTTATAAATCGTATTTTAAAATAAAATAGATTATTATCACCATTGTTGGCCGCCTGATAAGACATCTTTTGACATCGAAACAAATATGCATTTTTTTTTCGTTTTTTTACATTCGTATATATATATATATATATATATATATATATATATATATATATATATATATATATATATATATAGATGGATAGATAACAAGATAAGAACAAATAGGAAAAGTTTATCAGTATAACATTTCACCATTATTAGATTAATAAACGTTTCCGATTTGTATATTATCTTGTATATATGATCCTTATCTTACACACACACACATACATACATACATACATACATACATACATACATACATACACACACAGTTACAAAGTGCGAAAATAAATCTACAGAAAAATGGTCAGGTAGATTAATGATGAATCCCCAGTGTCAAATTTAATTTTTGTCCATTTGCATTCGCTTTCGCCTAAAACTTGGAATATACATACATAGATATCTATGTGCTCTTTACTACTCTCTGTGAAAGTAAGGGCGTATTTACAATAAGATTTAACTGGAATGAAAATTAACGAAATACTGATTTATTCTAACCGAGTTTTATCTTTTTACCGCAGTATTTGATATGTCTTTTTTTAATTTCTGCTGGTGTTGTTTTTATATGAATTACATATAAGTGCTTTCTATTGAATGAAAATTAACGATTTTATGGTACGCTCAAATCAAGAGTATTTTTTTTTCGACAAGAACTGAGTGAAACAAAGAAAGAATAGAAATGAAAAAAAATAACAAAAATAAATAAAATAAAATGCACTGAAAATATCAAACAAAAAAAAAACATGATAAAAAATCGCCGTTGCTTTAAATCCAAGAGAAAGCTTCTTATATCAAGAATTTTTATGGCGGAAATTTGATGAAATTACAAACACAAAATCTGTCACTCGGTTTAAAAGCCGACGCTGGGCGAAGTCACAAAAGTGTGATTCACTTTATTGTTAAAAAAGAATATATATATATATATATATATATATATATATATATATATATATATATATATATATATATATATATATATAAAGAAGTAGAGAGAAATATATATATAAATATTAGAAAGTAAAGAGAAAGATTCCTTCATAGATACAGGTACAATGAATAATGTCTTTACTTTTGTTAATATGACGTTCGGACGGGGGTAAAAATTGAAGTATTGTCGGTCGTCGTTCAAGCGAAATGAAGTGCTTCGAAATTAAACGTTTTACACTGACGTCTAAATTACAGAAATATCTAGAGTCGAGAAGTGCCCTTTCCAATTGTTCTTTTCTTTCTTTTTTTCGTAGCTTTGCTTTATTTTGATTTTAATATACGTAACATTAAATAAAGATAAAATGGCAGTAAAAAAAACTGGCGAGATATTATTCTAAGCGAACGTCAGTAAAAAAAAAATGGCTTGGTGTGTCAACGTGTGGCACAAAGAAGTAATTTCACCGCCTATCTACATGTCATTTAGCTACATCTATCTATATTATCTATCTATCTTATCTATCTATCTGTCTGTCTGTTTAAAAGCTCTTTAGGCAATGATACTTGCAGTGGACATCTGCATTAACATTTTAAGTATATATATATATATATATATATATATATATATATATATATATATAATGGCTGATTTGTCGTTTCCGGGTATAATCATTGCTTGTTATCGCTTCATTCCACAGTTTCACCAGAGCGCAGCACGAATGTAGTCGTTAACCCAGTCATACACCTTCAATGCCTGTCACATTGTTATAAACCAACGAAAAACATAAAAAAAATAATGACACTTATATACTATGTATACTTACTTTGCCGTGGTGCAATGATTAACAAACCTGTCTCTCCCGATCAATTATGACTGAATAGTGGGATCGTTCCTTACTGGGTGCCCCATACTTTCGGCCTTGTGCCACATCTAAGCTATGCTTAGAAAATCATTAGGGCACTTTGTCGTGCTGTAATGGTAAGCAAGCTTGCCTCTTTATATTAATTACGGCTGAATAGTGAGTTCGATCCTCACTGGATGCTGCCAAATCTATGCTTAGAAAATCATCTTACTTTGAGACAGGCTAAAGAGATTCAGCGAAAAATGTGCAGAAATAGAAAGAATTAGTATCACATATAAAGCAGATATGCATAAAAAAAGAGAAGAGGAAAGAAAAACATGCTTATCAACCGCATGCATAAAATCCAGGAGTTAGAAAAAGAAAATAATACTTAAATGACAGAAAGAATAAGATCGCCGATCTCTTTCACAACGAATGAGAACAACTGACAGTGTACAGAAATATCAGCGGACCGGAAATATTAAAAACCGAAATGGAGGCTGAAATGGTCAAACTGAATAGAAACAAAGCGGCAGGGACAGACGGAATTGTAATAGAGATGCTGGCATCCTTAGACAAGATTACAAAAATAATAAATGAAATCTACGACAGTGGCGCTATACCGAAAGACCTAACGAGATTTATTTTCATAGCGCTGCCTAAGAAACCAGGTGTAGACGAATATGAACGCTCATCGCTAATGAGCCATATAATAAACTCATCATCCGAATTATGATGAATACAGCACGCAACAGTATCAGACCGGAGATAGGACAAGGACAGTGCGGGTTCGTCAAAGACACCGGAATAAGGTAGATTTGGGCTCATAACATAAAAAAAAATCCTCAAAATTTCCTTGTCTTTCATATTCAACGAAACATATGTTTGAAAGAAAGGTTGCTGCCTATATATATATATATATATATATATATATATATATGCAAATCTCTTCTATGAATTGAGCACACTGAGTAACTGCCTTGTTTATTCTAAAATAAATACGTAAACATTCACCTTCCTTTCTGCCGGGAACTGACTGCTCAGGGGAAAAATCTCCGACTGATGCCGAATCAGTAGGCACTCGGATGTCAAGTCACACTGATAAACTGTGATACAGCGAAACAGTTTCTCTGTGGATCACACACACACACACACACACACACACACACACATATATATATATATATATATATATGTTTTTTGTAGTACAAAATTTAACAATAGCCAGGAAAAGGCAAAATTTATAAGGCATTTTTTTAAAAAAAAAGCTAAAAATGAACAACCGGTTTCGTCCCAGGACTTATCAAGTTTATTTTTCTGGGATAAAAAATATAAAAGCGTGTAAATTAATTATTATAACGAATGGAATTGAAAACAAATATGAATTTCAAGAAACTAGAGTCCAATATCATTCAGACCCATTAAGCATACCCTCTGTTTACAAAGGGAAGGCCCACGGGATCTGATATACAGGGACTCTAGAACCTTGAGGTGATATGAGGAGTGGGACCTAGATAAAATCGAAAAACTGTAGCCACTAAAATCAACCACATATTTCCTGCTATTTATTACAAAGCCAGAAGTATTGATTAGTTGACTTTTCCTGGCATCCGGATTCAAAATCCTGGGTGGGGGTAAGTGTTGTTTTATTTTTATTTCCAATCTTTGAGACGTCCTCCCTATGTAGCCGAGTCCACAACTACACTTATATTGATAAATCACTGAATTAATATGATGGCGGGGGGCGTCCTTACGAATGGAAGAGAAAAAAGGACGGGTAACAAATATTACCCTAACATTCGCCGAAAAATAACAGCTATTAATCATACGCGAAATTCGCCTAGATAAAGTCTCACCTTCTGTACCAATATAAGGAAGACGCAAATAAACTGGACATTTATCAAAAAATGCGGCTTAACCCTATGAAATTTATTAATGACATCATGGATAACGGAGTCTAAAACATCCAAAGGATATCCGTTTTTTGAAAGTGTCATCCTAACAAACTCAATTTCACAGCAGAGAAGGCTATCAGAACATATCTTAAGTGGCCAATGAATTAAGATTTCGTTGTCTGGGACAAAAAGAGTCCCGAGAAAGTAGCCTTTCTAAATACGGAAGTCTCAAACATCCAAAAAGGAAAGACAAGAACTGGACTCCTTTTCTACGGGATGAACAGAGTTTAATTTGGTGAGAACACTTGTCGGTTTCAGCGTCATTATTAAAGAGGCAGAAGGTATCATCCACATAACGACCATACATAAGAGGACGAACAATACAAGAAAATAAGGAAACTTCATGAAACCCGAGAAAAATATTCACTAACACTGGACACAAAGGTGAACCCATAACTACCCCATCGATCTGCCGATACATAATATTATTAAAACTAAATATATATAAGCATGCACACACATATATATGCATGTATAATACATAAAAAGGTCAGAGTTGAATCAGACCAGGAAACAGCCGTATCAAAAGTGCTCAATACATGTGTGAAAAAAAAAAATAACATGTAGAGCTTTTAAGTTTAAAAATCAGGAGCTCAGTTGAATCCGCTACTTCAGTTTCAACCTTACGGTATCCTCAGGTGATTTTTATCAAATGACCTCTTAACGCTATATATATATATATATATATATATATATATATATATATATATATATATATAAAAATAAACAAATGCAAATGCACGAAGAAGGAAGAAGAAGAAGGAAGGAGAAGAAGGAAGAAGGAAGAAGAAGAAGAAGGAAGAAATAAGGAAGAAGAAGAAGAAGAAGGAAGAAAGAAGGAAGAAGAAGAAGAAGGAAGAAAGAATGAAGAAAGAAGGAAGGAAGAAGAAGAAGGAAGAAAGAAGGAAGGAAGAAGAAAGTATCGGTGTCGGCCTAATTGAAATTTTTTATCCAGCCTCATATGTCATTAAGAGGAATTTCCTTATATGCAAAGATTCAAGACTTCGGATTTCTAGTTCAGAAGTTTCTTTGGATCCGGAAATTGCTAATCTTTCCTGTTGGCAGAGGTTTACGAATATTTTTATGGTTGTTATAAGTCTTCGGTTTTTAAGATTTTTTTCCAGCTTACAATTGGATCTCTGTTGTTTAGCAAGTTTGGTAGAGCACAATAGTCTTACTAGCTTGAATGACGAACTATGATTATACTATGTTTGAAACTAGATTCAATACATTCTATGTACGTTTTATTTTGGCCATGTGAATAAAGTCAAATAGAAAATTTATCATAGCCGACATAATTCATTCTCTGAGGGACTTCATCAAGGCAAATGAGCATTTGCCTTGAGAAAGAAGACGAAAGGTAAGTTTTTCCTTTGTCTTTATTTTATAATGTTATTTTACAGATATATTCTACCTATATATATATATATATATATATATATATAATTATTGAGTGTAAATGCACAATGAAATCTACTGAAGTAAGGTGTATTTCAACGAATCCATTAAATGGTAAAACTAATTTAAAATATCTCTATTTTTCAAGTGCTTCTAATTCGGAGTCGGGCGAAAGATAATGAAAGGAAAAAGAGAGTGAAAGAAAGAATTTCAAAGAATGGTAATTTTTTTTTGTTCGGGAAGAATTATGTCAAATCGCCATTAATTTGCTGCCTGAGTTGTGGAAAATAACGAATGTAATTCTTTGTAAGGATTAAAGTAATTTCGATAACATCAGAAAGTTGAAAATGAAACCGAAAAGTACTCACTGATCCAGGTACTTAAATGTGAATAAAATTATTTAGCAAAAAGTACAGTGTACATATATATATATATATATATATATATATATATATATATATATATATATATATATATATATATATACACACACTAATCCATCGTACAATTAATAAAAACAGGGCCCGTGTCGTTCAGCGAGTGGTCAGTAAGTCAATACATTCTTAATCTGTTAGCGAAATAAATTCGCCATTAATTACATTAACTTTATTGATTTGTTATTTGAATGACTATTTTATAATATTAATTAAGCCACATTACGTCTTTACACACACACACACACACACACACACACACACACACACACAACACACACACATATATATATATATATATATATATATATATATATATATGTAACAAGGAGAATTTTTCTTCTGATGATGGCCGAAACTAGTCGAGGAATCTAACGGAAATAATAAAAACGAAAAAATATTAATACTCAACACAGTGTGTCTGAAGATTTTAATTTTTTAAATATTTTTTACGCTATTTACATTATTCGAACTATTGTCCTCATCTTTGTTGCCATATTTATCACAAAGTTTCGGCTGTTGTACACTCCAGCCTTCTTCAGGTGGGCGGAATGTCGAACTGAATCCTTTATTTCGCTCTCTGGGGTAGACTATTCTAGTTCTACGTGCCATGTTTAATGGATGTCATTTATCAGTTATCTCCTGTTAATTCCTCTCTTCAACTTCTCTACCGTAAGGTATTTAACTCTTTGGGTCCTGTCACTGGATCTAAATAACGCCTTTATCTGCTGTGCCATGTGTCCTTGAGGCATAATGTAAATACTGTACATAATACATCATCTCAGAAATATAGACAGATACTAATAATTTTATTGTTCAAAACACACACACACACACACACACACACATATATATATATATATATATATATATATATATATAGCGGTACTTCAGGCTACTTTTTCTACTTTGTCAACCGTTAAATGTGTCTCTTTAGGAGATTTAATTCTTTATACGAGTTTGGGGTTCAGAAAAATATAACGACATTTTCTTTTGTAGATGAACTATACTTAAACATGAAAACAATAAATAAAAACTAAAAAGTTTTGAAGCTATATACATAAAACAGTTGAAACCTAACCTGAACAAAATAAACTACGAAATCTCAAATATTCTTAAATGCCTATAGCTAATAACAGAAGCCATTGGTTTATAGCAACGACTTCCCATACTTAATAATTCTGGTTTTGACACTCGCGTAGTCATGTGTGACGTCACGAGCTTCGATGCGATTTTCGCTTCCGCGTCTCGTATACACGAGTTTGTCGTTGCTTTGAAATTTTTCATGCAACAAAAACAGATTATCATTATTGTTTCGTCCGTGTATTGGTTGATATATTGAAATGTAATTGTCATCTTCGATAAATGGCTTGTGTAAGCCGAAAGCTTAGATAGGATTTAAACATGTACCAATATGGTGATTTCCTTTCCTCGTTCAATGATAATGTTATTAAGCTTAACAGACAATATAAAAGGAATTTACTTAAAATGCATAGACAAAACTTGTCTATATTATTTAATGAAACATGCATCAATATATATATATATATATATATATATATATATATATATATATATGTGTGTGTGTGTGTGTTTTTTCTTCCATATGCTTATACACATGGGTATGTCTTTCCGAGTGTATAATTTAATATTTACATATCCTTTGAATTTATATATATTCATATATATATAATATTAGGGTAATATATATATATATATATATATATATATATATATATATATATATATATATATATATGTGTGTGTGTGTGTGTGTGTAGATATATATATATATATTGATAGATAGATTATCCCCAATATTTAACGATGAAAAGAGGAAACAGTACACTCTTTAAAGGAAAACCCTAAAGTGCATATTCCGTTAAATATCATAGCTTAGGATTACAAGGTCACGAATATTCTTTCCTGTTTCCGTCAAAAACTATTTACTATTTCTACTCTTGCTCGCCTCATCCCTTTTATAACATGCGCGAACATTCGCTATAGCTGTCCTTGTGTTTTATAAACACGCGACTTGTTCTTGAAGGGTACGCCCAAGAAAAATGTTTTACATCCCCTGACAAAAATAATATATCCCATGGAGGTAAAATCTTTGGCATTTCTATCTCTGAATAATAGATTCAGACGTCGGGATGGATTTTATACCAGACGATGTGACGCCTTATAGAATACTACGTTCTACCCTAAGTGTCATAAATGCCGTAATTTCCAGCTTATAACCTTGAAGAAATGTGTTTTTGTTATGTAGACGTTTTAGCATATTCATGGAATTTCGAAGAAACGCTGGTGACAGAACTATTTATTTTTGTCTCAGAAACAGGACCAACAGAACCGACAAAATAAAGCTGGCTGCTGCTCTCATAAAGGAAGTCCAACCAATATTTAACTGGTGGAAAGAAATCGTTTGTAAATCATGTAACAGCAAAATTGTCCAGCCCACACAATGTTTAATATCTCAAAAATCGCTAAACTAACTGAGTTTTTCTTTCAAGGTTTTCAGATAACCTTTAGTCATGTTGACACCATTTGTCGTAAGAATCACTAGAAGGATAACAAGTTAAAATTGTTTTGTGTCAGCCTAACTACCAACATACATACTCTGGTTTCAATCTTCAAAATCCATTCAGGGAACATCACGGGAAATATGGATAAGTTTTTAAAAAAAAAGGAACAATATAGAGGAAAAATGAATCAGATGGTCAAAACTGCAAAAAGGACAATCATTTAAACTTAGAACGAAAGAGTTCAAGTAGAAAAGATCCAACTCAATCTAGGAAACGTTTGAGAGGTGAGAGAGGAGTTTCAGCGATGACACCCCAAAGAGCAGTGAAAAAAGACTTGAAAATGAAATCGATCGTGATACGTATGAGGCAACTTGTTATTCCAAGGCAGAACATTACAAGGTTAGAGAGAGCGAAGATCATTGTGAGTAAAATGGATCCTGGAATAATAATAATAATAATAATAATAATAATATATATATATATATATATATATATATATATATATATATATATATGTATTGAACAATAAAAATATCAAAAAATTAAAATCTTCAGAGACACTGGGTTGTAAGATTAATATTCTTTCGTTTTTTTATTATTTCATTTAGATTCCTCAAATATATATATATATGTATATATATATATATAACTAGACTCGTTTCGAAAAACCCTCGGATTTTTGATTTGCTAATCAAATCAATCTCGAGGGAAAAAAAGGTTTTAAAAAAAGAAAGAGCTACAAACATGAACTTCTGCCGACAAAAAAATCGCACAGATGCAGGTCTGAAGCCCAAAGAAAAAACCCCGATACGAGTAACAACTAACTAACAAAAGAGCTCAATACAACCGTAGAGCAGACCTAGATACACCTAGTGAGCCAGACAAACCTACCTAGGTTTCACCTAAACGGATCGTCAGGGAAAGTTTGGCTAATGAAGCAAAAGAAACACATATTTATAGGTGATATATATATATATATATATATATATATATAGATAGATAGATAGATAGATAGATAGATAGATAGATCTTTATTTCAATACTCCATGAAGTCTCGATACTTAGCTCTGATTAATTGATGAACACGTCATTTTCGCTATTTACATTATTCGGACAATTGTCCTCATCTTTGTTGCCATATTTATCACAACGTTTCGGCCATTGTACGCTCCGGCCTTCTTCAGGTGGTTGGAATGTTGATCTGAATCCTTTATTTCGCTCGCTAGGGTATACTGTTCTAGTTATACGTGCCATGTTTAGTGGATGTCAAGAAGGTATTGAACTCACAACTGTTTGGGTCCTGTCACTGGATCTAACCAACGTCTTTATCCGCTGTGTCACGTGTTCTTAATGTTGTGAGTTCAATACCCGGTTAAGGCAGTGGAGAACTTGGAGAGGTGAATTAAAAGGAGATAACTGATAACTGACATGCATTGGACACGGCACGTGGAACTAGAACAATCTACCACAGCGAGCGAAATAAAAGGTTCAGTTAGACGTTCCAAACATCCGAAGAAAGCCGGAGCGTACAATGGCCGAAACGTTGTGATAAATAGTGCAACAAAGATGAGTACAATAGTCCGAACAATGCAAATAGTGTACAT